TTGTTGTTGTTGTTGTTGGTGTTGGTGTTGTTGGTGTTGGTGTTGGTGTTGGTGTTGGTGTTGGTGTTGGTGTTGGTGTTGGTGGTGTTGGTGGCGTTGGTGGTGTTGGTGTAGGTGTAGTAGTAGTTGTTGTTGTTGTTGTTGTTGTTGTTGTTGTTGTTGTTGTTGTTGTTGTTGTGGTTGTTCGTCGTCGTCGCCGCCGCCGCCGCCGCTGCCGTCGCCGTCGTCTGCTGCTGCTGCTGCTGCTGCTGCTGCTGCTGGCTGCTGTTGTCGTTGTTTCGTTCGCCTTTGGGGCGAGTGTGATTTCTGTCGCACGTCACCGCAAGCCACCCAGCCTCCTCCTTGGCCTTGGGCTTGAGGCGCGCCTCCAGCGAGGCGCAGAGTTGCTCAGCGCTCACGACCTGCCGCACGAGAATCAGAGGGTGTGCACCTTTCTTTGGGGGAAATCCTGTTTTGGCCGGTCTCAAAGAAGAACCAAAGGCTTAAAGGGAAGCCCACAATGCTGGGGGCCGGGCACAAAAGGGAGATGGCTGTATGGCCATCGAGCACATGAAACTGACGGCGCAAGGTCAAAGGTGCCCCCGGCCACAAGGAATTGCTTCATGCCAAAGCTGAAAGGAAGAATCGTGCAGGAAACCAACAAGGTCATGGAAGCATGTCCAGTGCACTTACTGGTGGACTCATGCCGGGCAAACCAACGTAGCCAGTACAAGACTCGAGCCATTGTCTGCAATGCCTGCCTTTGAGCGCCATGAGCCCAAACAAACTTTGGCAGGATGGCAATTGCCAAAGCATGCTGGTGATGTCCATCCAAACCCTCCCCGTGCAGCAAGCATTCAACAAGCCAACTGGCAGTGAAGGACGAAGCATGTGGGATTTCTGGGCCTTCCCTAGCCACCTTGCAACTGCAGACATTCTCTGGCAGGCTCCCTAGAATGACTGCTCAAGCATGTAAGGGGGCAACCCAGCCAATGCAAGCGGACCTGCTCTCATAAAAACATTGATTTCTGGTTGCAATTCAACGCAAGAACGCTGCCATGGGCCAGCCTCGAATGCCAAGGTCGCTGGGAGTGCGATGGACAGAGCCTGCCACAAAAAAGCGCCAAGACCGCAAGATTAACACAGGGGGTGAAACACATCGAGCAAGTGGCAACATGCAGCAGCTTGTCAAAACTAGACACTACTATATTTGTTACAGGGTAACAAACCAGCCGTACACCCAAGTTCCGTGCCGATTTCCACACCTTGGTTTGGGGTTGTCAAAATAGGACGCGGTGAATTTTGGCACAAACGCAAACGAAAGCCACGAACGGCATCGCTTGTTTGCAACATGTGTGACAACTTGGGCCTTGCCCCCTCCTGCAATTCCCTTGCCGGCTCACATTATTCTGAGGTTACAAGTTGCAAGCCACCTTCTTTCTGAAACGATGCCTCCCCTCTTCCATCTTCCCTTCCTTCCCTTCCTGCGCCTCCCCTACAACCTCCCGAACACCGCCCACAATCCGATCCGCGCCTTGCCCACCCGCGAGGTGAGGTCCACCGCCATCATGGAGGTGACCCCGGCGCTGGCGAAGGGCTCCTCCATGGGCACCTCCTCCGCCTCGCAGCCCAGCAACGTGCCCAGCACCTCCACCACCACCTGGCGAGTGCATGCTCCCCTTCCTTCCTGACCATGCCCACGAAAAGCCTTCCCCCTTTTTGTCCCTGGCCCATATTTCTCAGTCGCCCTCCTCCCCTTCCACCGAACGGCCGGACCGACTCGTCTCTCGCGAGGTAACAAACAAGACAACACCACACCAACATGAATCAACATTGGACACCGCAACGCCGCTCTCGATGACGAGCGGCCCCGCGGATGTCCAGCGCCAAGTTCTCAGCTCCGCCCTCCACTGCCACGGCCTCAGCCGCTTGGTCTGTCAGCGCAATGTCTCGCGCCAGCACATGCCGCGCCAGACCCGCCGGCCAGGGGCTCCCGCCAGGCCCAGGCGCCGGGAAGACGCAGACCTGCATGGAAAAAACGTGACTTTGTTTACCTAGCTGTGGCCCATGTTGCCTCCACCCGTGCCTGGCGGGGCAGGCAGCTCTTGGAGGCTAGAAGCCGGCAAAGCAGCTCCATGCCCTGCTTGGGCGGCACAAAACCCATGCCCTCAGAAGCCCAAAAGGCGTGGAATCCTGCTCCAGCGCGGTGGGCCATGCCCGTCTCCGCCCATGCACCCCAGGCCACCGTCTGGGCGCTGCCTGGGAAACGGGCTGCGCGCTGCTCCGTGAAGCCGTCCTGGAACCCGTTGGCCGCCCCGTACGGCGCCAGCCGGGGGTAGGAGAGCACCCCGAAGATGCTGCTGAAACACACCATGGCACACTTGCCCGCGCCGAAGGCCGCATCGCAGGCGCTGGCGAGGTTCAGTGTGCCATCCACCTTGGGCCGGAGCACCGGCACGCAGTCTGACCAACGAAGGTCCTTGGCCAAGGGGACCATTCCGCTCTCCGGCAGGAAGCCAGCCAAGTTCAGGACGTGCGAGCAAGTTGCCGCATTTGTTTGCACATGTTTCATCAACCCTTTGCAGCTGTCAAGGTCCCCAGTGTCCGCGGAAAAGAATTGGAGATTGCAGGAAGATTTCTCAACCTCCGCTCCGAAGGAGGCTTTGTTGCCAACCTTCCGCCCCACAATCACAAGGTCTTTCAGCTGACCGCACTGCGCAAGGCAGGACACCAGCAAGCGACCCAAGCTGCCGTTCCCCCCTGCAATAATGCAGCTAGAAGCATCTCCGGCTGCCCCGATGTAGCCAGCCCGGGGCAACTGCTTGCTCAACTCCGGCACCTGCTCCAATTGCTGCAGGCGTGGGACATACCGACGGCCCTGCACCCATGCAACCTCCTCAGCTCGCTCCGCTGGCTCACTCAAACAGGTGGCCTCCGCTTCAGAAACAATGGCGCCTGCCGCATCGCCGGGCGAGGCATGGCCGCAGAGTTCCACCAAGCGCCACGAGATATTGGACTCTGCAGCTGCTGCCCTGACAAACGCCCAGCAGGCAGCCACAGCAGGATCTCGGGGCAAGGGCTGGCCTTCGATCACTGGCGCATCCTTGGAGTGCTGCGCGACCAACAGGATGCTCCCTATCTGCCTGGCCTCCGCCGCCCGCACCACAGCCATGAGGCAACAAAGGCCCCGCTGCACAGCCATTCGCACCTTGTCGCCTTCGCCGTCGGCCCCTGGAACCAGCAGGCAAATGCCGGCAGGTGCCTCCAAACCTCCAAAGTCCGAGATGCAGGGCACATCTCCCAAGGAGCATGTGCCGACGGCACCCCCCGCGCTGTAGTTGCGAAAGTGCTCAGACACAGCGCCCAGCAGTGCAGGGGAGACGGGGACTTCATCAGAGCCAGCTGAGAGCACCAGCCACTGCCCACAAGAGCCCGGCTTGCCGCTTGAAGGGCTCAGGAACTTGCTTTTCCAAGCAACCTCATAACAATGCTCGCTCACAGCGTCATCCCCCTCGCCAGCCTCCTCCGGAGCCGCAGCTTCCCGGTCCCTTTTCTTCAACTCCGACTTGATGACCTTGCCTGAGCTGTTGAGGGGCAAGGACTCCACCACATCGATGATGCGGGGGAGCTTGAAGTCGGCCAACAACTTCCCGCAGAACTGCTGGAACTCCTCGAGGCTTGGCCGCGGCGCGCCCTGCTTGAGCAGCACCACGGCCTTCACCAACTCCCCGATCATCTCGGGCCCCGGCACCCCGTACACCGAGCACAGCGCCACGGCCGGGTGCGCCGTGAGCGCATTCTCCACCTCAATGCAGTACACATTCTCCGAGCCCACCAGGATCATGTCCTCCAAGGATTCTGCGGCCCTTGGGTTGATTTCAATGCCTTTCCCTGCCTCCTCCTTTCTACCAAAACGAGGAAGAACAAAAACCCTGCCCCCCCCCTTCGCCCCAACAAGAAACATGCCCTCCTTGAGGCGGTCAATGACCTGCAGGAAGCCCAGGCTCGACATGGTGGCCAGGTCCCCAGTCCGGAACCAGCCCTCAGGCAGGAAGTGCTCGGGATCCGGCTGCACCTTGCCCTCGCCTGGCTTGAGGTAGCCCTTGAAGACCGTGGGCCCTCTGATCTGCACCTGGCAATGGCCAACCTATTGAATGCAAAAGCCTCTTTTCGCTCACCCCATGGCCCCCCACCCAAGCTCAGCTCCCCAGGCCTCCCCCACAGTCCGGCCATCCCAGGGCACCGGCTCGCCGGTCTCTGGGTCCGCCACCCGCACCTCCAAGCCCTCGAAGGGCTTCCCCGAGGAGCACAGCATCGCCATCTGCCGGCCCAGCGGCGCCCCGCGCTGCGAGCCACTCAGCATTGACATGGAGATCTTGCCTCGGCTCAGCCAGAAGCTGAGGCCAACTCGTCAACTCCAACCAGATAAAAAGACGGCCCCCAGATCTGCGCTCACAATCGGTGACACCCAACAGCCAAAGAAAAACAGGCGGGCTCGGAAGCGAGGGGCCGCAGCACTCCGTCATGCCGTAGGACTGGAAGAACTCAGAGCCGAATAGGCGCTGCGCCCTCAGCAGCGCCGAGTGGCCCAGGGGCGCGCCCCCGCAGGACACCAGGCGCAGGCAAGGGAAGCGCCCGTCCAAAGAGCGGCTGGCGGGGGCGGCCAGCAGCAGATTCACCTCACGGACATGGGTTCGTCGAACGGCCTGCGCCAAAGCCTCCGAGCCAATGCCAGAAGGCAAGGTCCATCAAGAGGCCTTTTGGTGGGCGTCACTGCCAACCTCTCACCACCCCTTTCAGCCCTTGAGAGATACCAATGATCGCCTCTCCCTAGCAACATATACTGAATACCCTCTAAGAAAAATATCCACCTGGGGGCGGGATATCGGGTACAAAGGGTGCACAGTCCTCGTCCAAAACCCCCCCCCCCCCCCCTCAGTCAGCACAAACAGCGTCAAAATGAAAACTTACTAGCAAAAGGAATCGCTCAAGACATGTTTGGGATTCGTCCCTTTACGACTGGAACCAAATTTGTTGGTCTCAAATTGGTTGAGTTTAGCATTGCCTATCAGTATTGGGAGATTTGGGCTCGGGGAAAAAAACATATTGAGCAGGCGCACTTGCTTCGCGAAGGGAAGCGAAAGTCTGGCTCCATACAGGGTTTCAGCGGGGGGGATGCCATTGCTTGATCGTGTTGCCAACCAGCACCACCTCCGCCCCCCTACCCAGCAACCCTGCGGCATCGTAGGCGGGCCGCCATGGAGGTGGCCATGTTCGTTGCAGTGATGTTTTTCGTGGCCAAGACCTCCAGCGTCTTCTCTGCGTCGAAGGCCCCCGGCAGCAGCACGTGACGCCCACAGACCAAGGTGACGCTGAACATGGCGAACGCGTCCACCAGGTGAAACCTCTGCAGTTGCCGTCAGCTGGCGTTCACTTTCTGGGGCTCATGAGCGGGGGACAAAGAATCATGAAGCCGTCAGGCCGCACCTGCCTGCATTACTTCGGGCAGGGATGATTGTGGACAGTCAAAGGGTGAGGCAGCACATCCCATTTCAAAACATCCTGACAGCTGCCGCAAAGCAAAGAATGCATTGGCATCGTCTAACCACTTAGCTTTGGCCAACCAATCCAGCCACCCAGCCAGTGCCAAGCTTCAAAAACCTCTCGGGCGAGGCCTGAAACACAAAAGGGCACACCAGGCTACTCGTGGCTTGGCAGCTTGCTGAGTTCATTTGCTTTGCATGGGCCAGGCTGGCTTGGGTCGCAGGTGTTTCTGGGCACTTGCCCCTGCCAGTTCCCCAAGCTAGCAGCATGGGCGCCACATGGAGCCACACGTCCGCCTGGGTGAAGCGATGCTCGGAGATGCAGTGCAGGGCGTGCGCCTGCACGATGTGGTGGGAGAGCAGCACACCCTTGGACCTGGGCAGAACCAAAGTGGCCCCATGCAAAATGTCAAAAGGACCCCATCCAAAAGAAAATAAATGGGATTTGATTTTGGCCCTGTGAACCCGTAATTTGCGGGCACATTCGTGGCTCAAGAACAAACAGCGCGGTGCAGCGCACATAGGTTATGAGCCCAAACGCCCCCTGACAAAGGCCAGCCATGGACCCAGGCATGCGGAGAAGAAGGGCGAGATCGGTGGACGTCGCCGGCATGGGCATCCTGGTGGCTGAGCCGGAGGGGGAGGTCACCACAACCGGCGAGGCCGCGGACGGGGTGGCCGACGGCGAGGACAAGGGAGGGAAACGGGTAGGCCGGTGGAGGTGAACCCGTTTTGGAGCGAGAAGGCGAGGGCGGAGGCGGAGCTTCAGGCCCACAGGCCCAGGGATCTCCCAAGGGTGCCCAAAGGGTCGGAGGAGAAGGGGCTTGGAGATCAGGGAGAGTGGCAACATCCCGAGACGGTGAGTAGCGGGAGGTCGGAGTATTGCGAAGAAGTGAAAAGGAGCCTGCAAGAGGACCTTGAGAAGGAAGCGGATGTCGGCCTGGAGGGAACCCGTGGACAAGGGAGCAGCAGGGATGGTCGTCGGGCTCTGCATCCTTCGCAAGCTCATGGACGAGATCGAGGGCATCCTTCAGAAGCGCATGGAGGGTGGCGTGATGGTCGAGGGCATCCTTCGGGAGCTCATGGAGGGTGGCATGATGAGCGAGGTCGAGGACATCCTTCGGAAGCTCATGAAGGGCACCCAGATGATCAAGGACGAGGGCATCTTTTAGAAGCTCATGACTGGTGGAAGGGAGGCCAGGCCCATCGTGATCGGGCAGGAGCCAGGAAAAGGGCATGCCGGGTCGGGTCGGCATGAAAAAGGAAAGGAAGGTGAGGTTCCGCGAGGAAGGCGCCCGATCTATGGAGGTGGTGGAGCCCGAAGTGGAAAGGGGGTTTCTCAAGATCGCGGAGAAGGGGGCCGAGAGGGAAGTGGGCATCGTCCTTCGGTGCCGGGTGAAGGCATACCCCCAGGGGCAGGTTTCAGACCAATGGAGCTCCACATGGCGTGGAACCCAGCAACGAAGGTGTGGGTTCCGGAGGGCAACCTGCCAGAAGGCCTGAAGTATGAAGATGATGAAGAACTCATTCCAGGGGAAGGAGGAGGAGAGGAGTGTTCGACGTGCAGGAGGCCATGGAAAAGCAATTGCTGTTGGCTAGCCGCATGATCAGGGGGATGGAGATGGAAAGGGACCACCTTAACAGGACCATCGCCGAGAAGGACCGGCTCCTGGAGATGCGAAACCGCACGATCAACCAGTTCCTAGGGCAGGTCCGAGAGGCGGAAGGCCAGCTTCGAGAAGCGCAGGATGAGGTGTCAGCTTGGAGGTCTTGGTGGAACCGCTGGGAATGGGACGGCTCTCAGTGGAGGAGACAGGAAGGCGAGTGGAGCGAATGAGTTTCACACGCCGATGGAGACAGGAGAGAGACACGGAGATGGTGGACGCCGGGATCGAACGAGGTCACCACACCCACCTCCGTATCCACCGAGGCCAAGGACGCCGAATAGGAGGAGGACTCCAGGAGGCACAGCGGTTCCGGGCGGGACTCGGGAAAAGGAGGTGGAGTTCTTCGCTTGGAAGGGGGAGGTGGTTATGCCAGGGGAGAAGAACCAAGGGAAGGAGGGCTGTACACCTGGGAGAAGGACTTCGAGACGGGTGGCTTGAAGATGGTGCCGGCTATGAGATCCAGAGATGAGTGGGCGTTGACGTGGGAAAGAACAGAGGAACTCGAGCGGCAGGTTCCAGTGCCGCCCCCGGATTTGGATGTCAAGGCCATCGTCGCCCCGGAGCAGGTGCACGAGAACGTTGCGGAGACCAAGGGGGTGATGGACTCTTGGCCGGAAGACGTCAAGGCGATGTTGGCAGCAGGACAGCTTAGGGAAGAAGCGATAAGGGCTGCGGAACTGCCGAAGTTGCCGGAGCTAGGGGCACTGGCGGGGGACTGGCTAGCGGAGATCCGACCGATCATGATGGACCTTAGCGCGAGCGCGGCAGTGTGGTGGGAACACATCATGCACCACGCGGAGAAGGCTTATCAGAGGTGGCTGGATATGCGGCCGGTGGAGAGGTTGAACCGGAAGAGCCGGGATGGCTGGGAAAGTACCCTTTCTCCAGGGTGGAGCAGAGAGGGGCCGGGCTTTTGCTTCGGGCGTTGCCTCAGAGCTTGAGGCAGGAGGTGGTTTCGAGGCGGACGATGTCAGCAGCGGGTATGGTCTTCAAGCCGAAGGTGAATGATGGTGAATGGCAACACGGTCCCGGGGGAGGTGCTGGCAGCGGTTAGACAGTGGAGGAGGTGGTACATTGAACCACGGAGCTGAAGCTGGCAATGCCGGACCCGTCGCTGCTTTTGAGGGCGCTGGATGGCATGACCAACGGCATTGCGAAGGAAGGGAGCCAGGTACACTTTCGGCTGAGCTTGTTGAGGAATAGCCTTGGGGTGGATGCCTCCCCAACGCAGGAAAGCATTGTGCAGTTGGCGGAGTTTATTCAGGCAGAAGTGGAGGTGATCGTCGCCTCTAAGCCAGAAGAGAAGGGCCCAAAGGTGAAGAGCATGAGACAAGCAGAGGCGCAAACCCCGCGGAAGGACGGAGACAAAAAGGTCTGCGGGTTCTTTGCGGGTGGGAGAGGTTGCAAGATGGGAAAGAACTGCAACTGTAGCCATGACTGGTCGGCGATTGACCGGAAGGCGGATCGGTGCTGGATTTGCAGTTCGCTAACTGAAAGGGGGAGTGTCCGGTCAAGCATGAGGCGGCCGGCAGGGCGGGAACCAAGCAAGGTGGAGAGTCGCAGCCGCAGCAGCAGCAACAGTCGCAGCAGCAAAAGCCAAAGGTTGCGGCGGAGAAGGGGGTTGTGGAGGAGCAGCCACAGGCAGAGACACCTGGACAGCAGGGGCAGCATGTCCAGGAGCTGTTGTGCGAGGCGACGGGGTTGCTGAAGTTGTTGAAGACGGTGAAGGCGATCCGGGTCAGGGCGGTAAAGGCTGAGGAGGAGTTCTTTGGGTTGCTGGATGGAGGGGCTACCCACACCCTTCGCCAAGCCGAGGAAGGAGAACTCCAGGATGACCGCGTAAAGGAGGTCACAGTCGAGTTGGCGGCAGGGACGGCTCAGTTGTGGCAGCAGAAGGACACCCGGACATTGCTGTCGCCAGAGAAGGTCGAGCCGATCGTGCCGCTGGCAGGGCTGGTTGAGATGGGATACGGCATCACGTGGAACAACAAGGGCTGCATCGTCAAGCATCCGGCAAAGGGCGACATCAAGGTGGAGATGAAGAACGGTTGCCCCATGGTCAAAGGAGGAGAGGCTTTGCAGCTGATCGAGGACCTGGAGAACTTTAACCTGAACCGGAGGAGGATATGCAAGTTGTCCCAGGTGGAGGAGACAGTGATGGCCAAGTGGAAGGCCAGGTGGACAGAGGTGCCGGAGGCGGTTTGGGAAGTGTTGGGGAGCGTGCTGGAGATGATGGATCCAGCGGGGCCTTTCAAGCAGGACTTCCACAAGGTGCTGCCGTGGAATAGAAGAATGAGGAGGAAGGTGGAGGCAGCGAAGAATGTCGTGCTGCACCTCTTTTCAGGCAAGGATCAGAGCTTCTGGCAGGACTCAGCGGAGGTGGTCCTATGTTTGGACCTGGAGCGGGGCCAGGATATCCTCAACCCGGCGGTGAAGGCTTACTTGTTCCAGCTGTGCAGCATGGGCAAGATCTCTGGGATAGTGGGAGGACCGCCGTGTCGAACAGTGTCTGTGCGCAGATACCAGAGGCCTGGACCGGAGCCACTCCGGAGCAGGGTAGGCCGGGGGAGGTTCGGACTCGACGGTCTGTCAGCAGAGGAGCAGTTGAAGGTGCATCAGGATTCGGCGTTGTGGTTGATGCCGATGGTGCTCTTCGAGGTTGCTCGGGAGGCGAGGAGCGAAAAAGGTTGGATGGCTCCGGCGTTCGTGCAGGAGAACCCGAGGGACCCAAAGGAGTGGCTGGGAACGGGGGAGAACGGAAAGGGCACCAAGCAGCCGGAACTTGGGTGGGCTACGTTTTGGGCCTGGCCGGAGACAGAGGAGTTTGCGGCAAGGAACCAGATGCTCGTGGCGAAGCTGGATCAAGGGCCATTGGGACACGAGCGGAGAAAGCCGACTACGCTGCTCACCAACCAGGTGGAGGTCATGGCCCTTCACGGTGTTGCGGGACCTGGGGATCAGACCGGCCGAAGTGGGACGGTGGAGGATCGCATAAAGGAGTCGGCGATGTGGGCGGCATGGGCACCAAAGCTAAAGGAGGCGATCAAGGCAAGCCTACAGCGGGTCAATCGGGAAACGCTGGAGGAGGTGCGAGTGAAGGCAGCAAGAGGACCCACGAGGGATGAACAGTGGAGGATGCACGTGGAGAACGAGCATGTTCCTCATCGGCGAGATTGCAGAGTTTGCATGGAGGCAGCGGGCCGGGCAGGCGCACATCGGAGGATTCGGGCACCGAATGCCTTTGTGATGTCGGTGGACATCCTGGGGCCGACCCG